CAAAGGAGTTTCCTATAGGGTCAACCTAGACAATGAGGAAATTGAAATAGAAAAAACGTTTCCATACCTCGGATCAAACATTGATCTGAATGGAGACTGCAGTCAAGAAGCCAAAAGACTAGGAATGGGAAGGATACCCATGAAAGAACTACATAAGATCCTAAAGTGTAAAGATATACAATTGAGCACAAAAGTTAGAGTTGTACAAGCCATTATATTCCCCATTACCATGTATGGATGTGACAGCTGGACAGTGAAGAATTCCTAAAGAAAGAAAACTGACTCATTTGAAATGTGTGCTGGAAAAGAGTATTGATGATACAGTGGACAGCCAAAAGGACAAATAAATGGGTCCTTGAACAGATTAAATCTGAACTTTCCTTGGAAGCCAAGATGATGACACTAAAGCTGACATAACTTTGGCCACATCATATGATAATGCTAAGAAAGATAGAAGGCAGTAGAAAGAGAGGAAGACAAAACTCCAGATGAATGGACTCAATCAGGGAGGCCACACACCTGAATCTACAGGATCTAAGCAGAGCGTTGGAAGATAGAGAAGATAGAGGGTCTTGGAGATGTCTCATCCACAGGGTCACCATGAGTCAGGACCAACTTGAGGGCAGTTAACAGCAGCAGCAACAACAACAAAATACCAGTGCTACTCAAAGCTACAGGGACCAGTACCAATCTGCAGGCTACTGATTTCCAGTGCATGGCAAATAAAGGGGATTTTTTTAAACCCAGAATGGAGTCTGATAGTAAATTGAGCTCAGCAGTCGTTTTAACAACACAGTGTCAAATGGTCTCTGGTTTGGAAGCCCAGGGTTCCACACCAAGCAATTCAGCCAATCTTATACAGAATTCTTACAAAAACTTGCAGTGGTAGCAACTGAGCAACAAAAGGCTATGACAGAGAAACCATTACAAAGCTAACACCATTTCCAGATTGTGCATATCACACTCATTCTTTGTATGTAGAGAAATCTTGTAGCATCTTTGAGACTAACTGAAAGAAAGAAGTTGGCAGCATGATCTGTAATAGACTAAAGTCTACTTCCTCAGATGCCTTACATCTTTGTATCTTATTCCAGTGTTCCAGCAACTGTTATCAGCAGAACATGTCAAGAAGGTATGGGGAATAGCATCTGTAATGCATAAAATGGGCGGTTATATAAAAGTAGCCGTGTTGCCTTGTTTGGGCTTTTGCTCTAAAAACTAATGACACATAATGTGCAGGAGGGTGTGGGAAGTGCAGCCTGCATTGGGTGACACCATCGAGGGAGTTGACACCTGGTGGGGCAGTCGCTCACCATACGTCTCAAGATTCTGATTGGGAAGTGTCATCTTCAGTTGCTCTCTCAAGATTCTCCTGGCTGCCTCCTCTGCTGACCAGGGCACCTCCTATCCAGCCACTGTGGCCATTGGTGGGGTAAGGTGCTGCTGCCACCCAGTAAACCCTACTGGGTCTGGCAGGGCTGTGGACCAGTCCAGAGAAGGGAGATGCTGGCATGGCAGTGGTGCCCATGGACTCCTCTCCTTCTCCAAAAGGAGGTGCAGGGCAGGGCAGCAGAAGGAAAGAAAAGGGAAGGTGGGCAACAGAATGCCAGGCAGCTGGGTTGGGATAGCAAGGAGGGCAGGAGGGGGAGGTGGACAGTGAATGCCCCTCCCTGCTTGCTTCCTCTGCCAGTTCTCCTTCTGCTGCCCCACCCTTCCTGTTCTCTCCCCAGGGTTGAGCATCTCAACTGTGTAGTGGGGAGGGATTTCTCAGTACTCACCACTGCCTGCTGGGTTTGTGTGGTGGAGAGGTTGCAAGGGCAGTGGTGTCAACATCTTTCTCTTCTTCAATGTCTCTTACTCTCCCCCTTCTGCAGGACCAAGGGGATCCCTGGATGCCCTGGTGTAGGTCCTCTCCAGCCCCTCTTTTTGCACCAGGGGGCAGAAGGAGGCAACTAAGGGGCTATGCCGATGGGCAGGAAAAGGTGACCTGAAGTTGCCTTTTCCCTAAACTGCAGCAACCGCACTGCCTGCCCTGAGGTTGCCCTAAATGGGGACAGAGCAACCACATTTGGGAGAATCAATGCAGCTTTTCCAAGGCTGTATTGAAGCCCTAGCAACCGCACTGCCAGCCCCAAGGATGCCACAAAGGTAGATGAAGCAATTGCATTGGCTGGCAGCGGCTGCTTTAATATTTTTTTGTTTTGTTCTCAAATGCATGTGCACATACGCTGGGTCATCTCTCCACATCTGCAATCTGTGCAGGAAAACATCCCTGCGCACCTGCACAGGACCTGTTATAAAGTGGTATACAGTCTGTTACTCTCTGTGCAGAAAGGTGACTGAAGTTCGGCATCTCTGTGCACCTGCACAGGATCTGTCATACACCCACATATCATGCAAGGATTCGCCCCAAGAAGTGGATGCAGTAGACAGGTACCTCTGTCTGATTGTGCACCTTTGGGGTGAAAGAACGGGTTTGTCAACTGAAAAGACACTCCATCATCCTCCACATAACATGTCCCACACAGATCAGGGGGAAGGGAAGAGGTACATGCAAGGGAGGTTTGTGTGGACAGACTTGATACATGCAGCTGGTGGTCATGCAAGGGACAAGGTCAGCAGGACACATGGACAAACGTTACTCCAGGAGCCCAGCCCAATCATGCCAGGAAATTGTGTGCAGGTCTTATGCACACCTGCACAGAAGAGGTCACAAAAGCCTCTTTCATGCAAACTTCTGTGCATGCTGACAGCAAGCATACATCCAATAGAATGCATTTGTTGTCATAACAGAGGACAGTTGCTAGGGCACATGCATAGGGTTACAATTAGGGTTAGGGTTAGGGTTCTAATATTCAAGCGCACCTGCACCAGTGCATCCACATCTAGACACATAGGGCGCTTTAAATTTAAGCTTGTATCATAGGGTGCATGCTCTGGATTGCCAAGTCAATTTCCACCGTACATGCAACAGTGCATTTATACGACCGTTTTCTGGTGCATCAGTGTCGCTGCATACATACACACATGCGAAGGTGCACATCTTCACCGCAGGAGCAGAAAAAAGCGGCCCCTTTTTGAAGTGGCTTTTCTTGGGATATGACGGCTAGAGGGTGCTTTCTTGGAGACTTTTAGGTATGTGTTGTCTAAATTCCACTCCTCAAAGCACCCCTTTTTGCCCTTCTGCATAGCCCCTAAGACTAGATCTCTGCTTCCACTGGCAGATCCCAATTACCAGAGCTGCTGAGTAGCTGCCTGCCTGTGGGTGACACCATGAGTTACCATACTGAGGTGACACCAGTCCTCAAAACAGCATTGATATTACATATATGTGTTTTCACATATACACCTATCAACTTATGGTGATCCCATGAGTTGGATGTAATAATTGTGCTTAACTGCCTGCTAGTCTGGAGGCTGAGGCCACAAAGAGATTACTTATAACGTTTGTCAATTCTTTGAAACCAGACAGATTTTCAAATTCTTTCCTTTCATTCTGTGCTGCCACAAAGTCTTACTGAGTCTGTACACTTGTTCCCACCCCACCACCTCTCTAATATTGCCACCCCACCACCTCTCATGTTTTGTGGTGATAACATGAGTGATGTAGTTCATTGTTTCTCCCATTTCTCCCCCTAGGAACACACATCATTTGTATCAGTGTTTTTAGCCCATCTTTCAACCTCAGTGCACCTTCCTGCATCTTTGACTGCCAAATTCTCTGTTCCTCTGTCTTCTCCTGGCATGACTCTTCAGTCATAGGTGTTGCATAACTCTGTATTCAGTTGACTCTGCCATTCTCTGTACACTGGGAATTTATAACCTTTCCTAGCAATTGGTTCTGATAACAGATCTCTTCTGGGCCTCTGAAGCAGAAGGAGAAAATGTACAGTGATTTGTAGTAGGGCCAAAGCACACATGATAAACTGTTCTATGCTGTTTCCTCTTAACTTTTTTTAAAAAATGAAAAGCAGCCATTGTGAGGCTGAAATCAGATGCAGAGGGGCAGGTCTGCTTAATCCTTTCCCCTTCTATCTGTTTGTCCACTCAGGTGTATTGTTCCTCCAGGCTTTCCTTCCTTCCTGTCTGTC